AACTTCGATTTCGACTTCGACTTCGACTCCGTCTCGATTCGCGAGACCAGTTTGCCTTGGCTGGTTGTTCAACCTCCAGAGCCTAGACGCTGGGCCATGTTGTTATTGTTGTTGTATGATTATTATTATTGTAATTCAGTTAACGTTTCAAGCCAAACAGTTGACAGCGCTAACCACAAAACGCCAACGCAGCTGCAATCGCCGCTTGACCACTTCACAGCCCAACCAACCAACCAACAACAACAGCAACAACAACAACAAACAACACACATCCAGCTAAAGTTTTCGGGGCAGAGATTGGCATACGCTGATTAGAGTGCGAGCGGCCCAGCGAAAAGTCGATGTGGGCACATGGGCGCAAGCAAGCAACAACAACAACAACAACAACAAGAAAACAAGTTTACACAGGCAACAAGTACAACACACATACACACACACACACACGCACATAGCTGCAGCTGCCAACAAGCAACAACAATAAATTCAAACTAAAAATTCAAATTTGAAATTCCAACAAATATTTTTATAGACAAAACACAACTATCTATTTATATACACACATRTATATGTGTATGTGTATGTGTGTGTCCGCGCGTCTGTGTATTGGTATGTAGTTAGGTTCATGGACCTGCTGCAGACACGCCTAGAATCCAAACGAAGCCAAGCCAAGCCATGCCAAGCCAAGGCAAGTCAAGTCAAAGCAGGAGCAGCCGCCGTCTATTGATTAAACTGGGCTCCAGAACAGGTCTTCAGTATACATGTCTGTGTCTGTGTGTGCCTGTGTGTGTGTGTGTGTATGCCTCATACAAAATCATCTGCTGTGGTACACAACCTTTTGGCTGCCTGGGTAATTGCCAACTACCGGTTTAAAGACATGCTCCTAAGTCCAACTCTTACAGTCAGGCGGCGGCTGCTGAGGCACTGAGAAAGAGAGACAGCTAGAGAGAGGGCTAGGAAGAGAGATGGAGAGAGAGACGGAGAGGGGGCTGCTTCTAAGATCTTCGCACAATTATTGGGTAGCCGTACAAGCGTTATTAAATGGAGTTAGAAGCTGTTAAAGCCGCAATATGTATGTATAACGACTGCCAGCCAAGTTCGTTGTCTAAGTCTTTCGTTTTGAATTTTTCCTCAAGCCATTTATAAAAATATGCTTTTTTAACTAAGTCACGTAGATTGAATTAGAAGTTGAAAGCTGTTGCCCTACACACACACACACACACACACACATATATATATAGCGAGGCAATTGAAGTTTTATAATCAAGTTTGTTGCTCAAGTCTTTCATTTGCAGCACGCGATTATTAGAACTAATCGATATAGCCTTTGTATATACAATACAGAGCTGCAGTCAAGCAAGCAAGTTCGTTGCCTAAGTCATTCGTTACATCCTTGCAAAACGATGGCAGTTAATCGAGTTCGTTGCCTAAGTCTTTTGTTTATGACAAGCACTTAATTTCAACTTCCCCAGCTTCATCAGCTCACATACTTCACACAGCAATTTAGAGCTCCACAACAAGTTTGTTGTCTAAGTCTTTTGTTACCTGAAGCTGATCTTGTTGAAGGCATATTCTGAATGTAGTCGGAACATATACTAAATGCTAAACAACAATCGCTATGCATAAACAGCAGCTCTGAGCTTAAGTTCGTTGTCTAAGTCTTTCGTTTAGTTCAACTTTTTTGCCCATTTTTGGTAGCATTGAACATTCAAATGAAGCGGCAGGAGCTGCTAACTAAGCACAGCCAGACACACCACCAGACACACACACATACACATATACATATAGAGAGGTAGATATGTATACATATCTATGTAGCTATAAGAACACCTTAGTCCAGTTCGTTGTCTAAGTCTTTCGCTTGCAACGCCCCATGAAATCGATTACATAGCACATTCAAATGTGTGGTCAAGAACTGGAAGCAGCTCGTTGTCACGCACACGCATGGACGTGCACGATCATGTCGGCGCGGGCAGCCCACGGACAAGTTTGTCGCCTAAGTCTTCTGTTTTGCACTCTTTTTGCTTCCTTACTTTTCGCAATGGATATGAAAGAACTTTTCAGTTGAGCTGCACAGGAGCTCACACACACGCATACAAAGACTCCATGCGTGTGTGTGTTTGTGTGTGTGAGTGGATTTGCATGCAGGCGCAGCTATATAAATAGACTGTAATCAAGTTTGTTGCCTAAGTCTTTGGTTAGTTTAGTGAACTCGATTACATAGAACTTTCAAATGCAGTTGCAATGGCTGTTACCGCACACAAGCGCACACACAGACACACGCACACAGCTGGCTGCAATCAAGTTTGTTGCCTAAGTCTTTCGTTTTTTTTGCACTTTTTTATGGATTTATTTAAATTTGTTTCGGGTTTTTTTGTTTTTTTTGCTTGTTTGTTAACTCATGAAATGTTTCACATAATATTCACAATATTCATAACATACACCTATTCGCACCTGGGTTAATTAAGCTGCCGTTGGCCAAGCGTTTAGCGCCCCACGCACAGAAAAAACACACAACCGCAGTTTATCTTCTCTTCGCTCGTCGCTCTCTTCTCTTGGAATTTTTGGGCTGCTTCTCTTGTTTATATTCGGTTTTGCTTTAGTCTTTCGTTAATAACGAGACCTAAGACTATTATTATAATTTATTTTTTTTT